TGCATTAATGAATGCATGCATGTGTTTGCATGTGGTTACACTGACTACTACATTGTACTACACCAAAGTGACAAAACACCTGAGAGAAACATATCTGCTAAGTCATAAAATGATCTCAGCAAGATAAAGTTAAACATGGATGTACATATAGAATATATATGTCATTATCTTTTTACCTCTAGTCTGGTTTAAGCGTTGCTTCAAGCTATCAATGTTGGCTCTGAAGACCTGCTGATTTCCGAAACACTTCTCAGAATACCAGTCCAGGTGCTGAGGGTCGTCTTTTACTAGTTTTTTCATCCAGTCCTGTGTGGGCTCGGCTGTCCTGATGTTGCTGTCACAGTAACCCACCTGAACTCCATTGACCGAAGCAGAAGCCACAAACTCCGGGAAGTCTGGGAGTCCAGACGTGGCAGTGAGGAAATATTTCAGGGAGTATTTCACTGTGAGGAGAGAAATTTTTACGTTTCGAGACACATTTTAGAAGTGTTTTTAAAGTTGTTTTATCACAGTGGGTTACTAAAGAACATGTTATAAACATAATATTTTTGTCATTTTTACTCATGTAAAATAAAGATTGTACATTAACAAACAGAATCAAATGAAAGGGAAAAATAGTATTTGTTATTTACGCCATTTTCCACTTAGACTATGTTTTATCAGACAGCAAAAATTGTTCATTAGTTGCATACCATACTTATGCACAGTTACAGTATTTTTCCACGAGTGCTGAAACTACCCATTTCACTCTCTCAGTGAGGACCTGTATGTTCATTTCACCCTTTATTTCTTTTCAGTTCTTCTTCTTATTTACTCCAATCCAACATTATTTTTAGACCACTTTAAAAACAACATGGCTGACTGAAGTACTTTCCAGTGAAAAACAGTGATAAAAGTAAAAAAAACATACATTAAACACACAAAGAAAATTAAATAACAATACAATAAATAGATATTCAAATATAAAATAAATAAAATTAACAAAGTAAAGAAGATTAAAAGTAACCAAAAACTGACTAAGACTACAAGCTAACTCTGGTACTACTCCTAGAACGCCTTGGCAAAAGAGTTTGTTTTTAAAAGTGATTTAAAAATTTCAAGTGTTGGGGCCTCCCTAATATGGAGGGGCAACTTATTCCATCATTTGCAAGGCACAACAGCAAAAGCTCGGTCCCCCTGGCGTTTCAGTCTCAACATGGGAACAACAAGGAGTGACTGGTCAGTTGATTTATTGATAATCTTGTCTTGTAATTTGGTTAATCTTGTATAATTTCTGTTTTATTAGATTAATTTCGAATTTCAGCTCTGTCATTGCCATATTTCACGTGTACATTGACAATAATAGGTAATAGATATAAATATAAAAATAGTATTTCATAAATAAATAAATAATAGAAATAAATAAACAAATGGAAACACACAAACAAGAGAAGTCTATAAAACTATGTTTGGCACAACAGTGCATTCAGATGATAATTCTGCAAAAGCAGCACACAAGACAAGCTAAAAAAAATAAAATAAAATAATTTAATTTAATTCATCTGATTTGCCTCTAAGACAAACGCAACATTTTTAAAGCAAAGTAACTTTAAAACGCTCGCTTCAAAAGTGAAAGTAAAACTTCCACAGCTTGTTGCTACACAGGATAGTAACCAAATACAGACAATGTAATCAAATCAAACAACCCTTCCAACAATCCCTGCAGAAAGTAGCAGTAAGAGTTACGATGTGATCTTGCCTGAAGACGCAGTGTTACAGAAGAGGAGCAGTGCAAGCAACTTCATTTTATTCTGGAAATCCTGGAGCTCAAACCTTTGTCAGCAGATTTGAAACATGCTTCGTCCTCAACCTGTGGAATGTGGGCGTGTCAGACTGAAGTCTCACTGTCCTCATGAGGAAGCTACCACTACATCAACTATCACAGCCAAAGTTTCCACGCATTTAAATAGAAATATCTAATCACAAACTGTTGAAACAAAAGACGATTCAGTCAAAACTGTTTCAGCTATCAGCATTGTAGTGTATATACATATAATGTATACTTTCTGATACACGGTGTATGGGCGAGACAGAGCAATTATGAAGATTTAATCAGATATTTATGCATCCACATAATTTAATTTTTGTTTTATAATTCAATTTTTGTATTTAATGTCTTGGATTACCCTCAATTTAGACAGAATTTATTTTCAGGATTGATGTGTGTTGTTTTCAAATGAGCCTAAACTCACACAACAGAGGTTTAGAACAGAAACAAACACAGTCAGCAACAGAGCAAAGGATAAAAGTCTGCTTCTTTTATTTTGTTGTGCATGTTATCTCTGTGTATAATAATTAAGTTCTTATCAAAATAAAGGTTGAAAAATATTTAAACAATCATGTGCAACTCTCTATGCAGGGCACAGTACCGTATATGTTTACATCATATTGAATAAATAGCTGGTTAGAAGGAAACAGACCTTGTAAAAACTCTGAACATGTACCAAAAAACACAGAAAACAAAAATGGATTTTAACTCTTCTCACACACTTAATATGCTTATTAAATAATTTTTTTTAAATATCATTATCAATATCATCACCCAGATGTTATTTAAGTCACATCCTTGCAGCTTCAAATGGAGCATTTTGGCCATTGCTGATTGAGGAGTGGACAGAGAAATGAGGCTAACTACACAATTTAGGCCCATCCTAAAGCATACCCTAGTTTCTGAACGAGCATCATGTTGTAACACTTGAAATGACTGAGATTATAAACTCATCAGGAAACTGTTTACTGAGATCAAAATGTAAAGCAGCTGTTTGGCTGTCCTCCATACAGTCAGATAACTCTCCCACTTTGCACTGGTTTAACGCTTTGCATTTGCATTGTTCTTCAAACCTGAAAGCTGCATCTTTCTATGCATACACTGTATGTACAGCTAATGAAAGCTGGTGGGTCATCAGCACTCTCCAAATGAAAATATTTCCCTTTCTGGGAAAATGTGATGAAACTCTGTGTTCACTCAGCTTCTTCTCACCGTCACTGCTCACCCGCTAAGACAAACAGAGAACAGAAAATGAAATGTCTCCTGTTACAGTAAACAGAGTATCGGTTACTAACAAAGTAAAAACAAGTTGCTGCATTTTATTAATATTACTCACTGTTTGTAAGCTGGAACCCTGAAATACAGACAGAATAATGAAAAACAAAATGATTAACATGACAGAGTTTAGCAGAGCCAAATTATCAAATAACTCACTAAAAAAATCACCAAAAATATCATGTAAGTACATATAATACAACGTGCATAAATTCCAAATTCATTATTGGAGTAAAATCTGCTGTAATCTCACCATTGTTGTTTCTTCTCCAGATGAAGAAACCAAAGACTGCCAGGAGGAGTAAAGGTCCTCCAACACCTCCAACAACAGGACCAACAGGAAACACTGAGGGAGAAACTGAAAAGGTCCAAAATGTAAGATCATTCACACTGCTGCCAAACCAAGCTGCTGTTTCCAGTGTTAATGCATCACTTCTGAACAGTGTATGTGGTTAAGAAGAACATGGTGTGGTTCATGAGATCTGTAGTGGCCAGATCTCAGTTTGTTTGGATCATAAAGAAGAAAAAGTGTTTGTGTTTAGGATGGTTTACAATGTAAAAGCAGACACTGTAAATACTGCTTCAGCCTGATTTAATAATAATAATAATAATAATACATTTTATTTGAGGGCGCCTTTCAGAAACCCAAGGTCACCTTACAAAAAACACAATTAATAAAAGGAACAATAGTCATAAAATACATAAAATAAGTTAAAATTACAAAACAGAGCGTGACAACAGATAAAATCAGCATTAAAGCGAATAAGCCAGTCTAAACAGGTGTGTTTTGAGCTGTGACTTAAATACGGAAAGGGAGTCAATATTTCTTAGTGCAGGAGGAAGAGAGTTCCAGAGCCGGGGAGCAGAGCGACTGAAAGCTCTGTTCCCCATAGTGATGAGGTGTGAGGACGGAACAGTAAGATGAATAGCAGATGATGAGAGGGCGGGAAACAGTGGTGATATGGAGCAGGTCACACAAATATGAAGGAGCAGATTTATGGATACATTTGAACGTGAGAAGTAAGATTTTAAAGTTTATCCTGGCTTCTATGGGCAACCAGTGAAGCTGCTGAAGAATTGGGGTAATATGAGCACTTAACGGAGTACGGGTTATGATGCAGAATTTTGAAGAAGTTGAAGTTTATGAAGGGACTTTTTAGGGAGACCAAATAGGAGGGAATTACAGTAATCAATACGGGATGTAATAAGACTATGGACAATTTAATTATGCATTTTTGGCTTTTTTGTTATCAAACTTCTCCTTAGTGTAAATGTTAGCACCATTCTTCTATACATGGTTATAGGATGAGGTTGTACAATATTTGGTGTTTATTATATTGGTTCATGCCTACGATCAGATTTGGCACATTTGAGAGACTTTAGCAGATTAAACTCCCTTTCATCCTAATTAATGTCTCCATTGTTTCCTCTGACACTGTGCAAAATATTTTACATTACATATAGTTGTAATTTCTTGACATTAAAATGACATCACTAATGAATTTCTGTTGACTCAAGAATTTCATGCAGACATTTGTTTCAGAGTTTGTTTGTTTTTGGGGCTTTTGGGGGAGTGGGTTGAGCAGCTCCTTTAGTCAGAGACTGAAACACCCTCGCTGCAGAAAGGAGCGCTTTCGCAGATCATTCATCCCAACAGCAGTTAGACTCTATAACTCCTCAATCATGATGTCATAAGTCCCTGGACACTGTGAACATCCACGGTCACCACTTCATGCATAATGGGCCTTCCATGTGTACGGACATGTGCAGGTATATATGTCTGTATATGTATACATGTGTATATTTAGTGTGTACATGTGTGTGTGTCTATAAATAGGAATAGTAGTGGTACAATAGCTATATCAAGCTATATAGTTTATGTCTTCCATATTTCCAACTATATCCATAATCACATACTGTGTATGCTACCATTGTATATAGTGTATTATCTTACTTTTTTTCATTGATTATACTTATTTGTATTTTTGTATTTCCTTCTGATATCTGTACCTGAGCTGAGGTGACGCAAAAATTTCCCCGTTGTGGTATCAATAAAGTCTTATCTTATCTTATCTTATCTTATCTTGTTTGTTTTTTAAATATGATGGTGTTGTAAACTTTGATATACAGAACTTAATTCCTGAGCCTGTCTCACCCCAGTTTGTCCGGATCGCTGTTTTGTCCAGTTTGGTGATGATGTCTTCCTTTCCATCATAGAGCTGAAACACACAATCGTACCTCCTCCAGTCCTCTGGCTTGATTGATGAAATATTCAGCTCAACGCTCATCTGGAAGCTCCCGTCGTGGTTGGGGAGGATCTCTCCATGCTCCACACCCTCATGAATTTCCTCTTCGCCTCTCCGCCAGAACATCATGGCTCTCTCTGGGTAGAAACCTGTAGCATGGCAGCTGACTAGAGAGGAGGGAGTCCTCTGCAGGAGAGAAACTGAGGGAAGAACTGGGAAAAGATAAAAACAAAATAGAGAGAGAGGCTTTATCTGGGACAGCTGATAATCATTGATGAAATGCTTGTCTATGCACTGGTTCATTTTCCTTGAAATGGTGCTGTAGAATAGAAACAGAAAGGGAAGCTTTTGCAACGAAATATAATAGCATATGTAATTCTACCTGATCTCTGCAGAAAGCTCCTCCCATATTTCACATACTTCTTCAGCCAGTCGGGGCACCTGTTGATGTAGTAGTTCTTGTTGTGTTCTAATCGGGGTTTTTCAGTATCCCACTGCAGTTTCGTGACGACAGCCTGCGGCTTAGGAGCAATCCATGTTAGTGTCTGCAGGTCCAACGCTATGAAGTCTTCCCCATCATAACCATACTGATTAAAGCCTGTGATTTTATCAGTCTCATCGTCCCATTCACAGCCATTCATCCTCTGAAAAATGTGAACACCTGACAGGGAGAGAGAGAGAATGCAG